AGGTATTCTGATCACTTTTAGTAAAGACTCAGTTAAAGAATCCCATATGGTCATCGAGCCATATGCCACCTAACCATCTGGAACATTCGGGTGCACCACCTCATTTCTGCCGGAAGATATGTGACCCTGGAATCCGAGAAACCTCGACAAATGACTACCCCGGAGTTTTCCAAACAAATTTCCCATTGATTTGAATTCTTCCTAATGACACTCCCTGAATCTCATACGTCTCAATGGGGAACTTCACTTGAGTACATTAAAGAAGTGAGCGCCCACGGGCTGACATATTGCTCCTGTTCTGTTCAACTATGCGTTCGCAACGCATCTGCCGTAAAGCGATTCCTACCAGCGGCAAGACAACCCCCAATTACACGAACATGATGCTCGTCGCAATCAGCCGACAATTCAGCTAAGTCAACTAGCTATCCGGAAAAGCACCAGACGGCCGTTTCGCCCTATTGGGGCTCATCAGTGGAGCGCATCCTTCGGTCCTCTGCGGAGGATCGAACCCATGACTGCTAGTGGCTCTTGCCAACTAGCCCGCAGCTTATGCAACTGCGCCATGGAGGACGGTATCCGACCATCACGAATTGTTAGCTAAATGCGATATAGCCCGACCCATCCTCCACTGCCATGTAGACACCTGCCATGCAGATGACAGCGGTTGGCCTTCCGGCGTCAGGACTTCCCGGTTACGCCAGCTATGAATCGACATAGCATTTTCTGGAATCCGTAAGGGCGAATTTGTATTACTTATGAGTGGAAGGATTTTGGTGAGTATTTTTGTTCGTTCCAATCGGCCCACAATTCAGATAACTCAACTAGCTATCCGGAAAAGCACCAGACGGCCGTTTCGCCCTATTGGGGCTCATCAGTGGTGCGCACCCTTCGGTCCTCTGTGTTACACAGAACATGCAAACAAAGTCGAACCGAGACGATTGCAAATATATGGGAATGATGAGCAAATAAAGAAAATAACCAACTCATCATTGTTAGCTATCGAAAGAACAAGCAATGGACAATGTAAAGCCATAAGCAGTAACCGACGCTTCGCTGCCACGTAACCACCCCCAGTTGCGCATGGCCTAAGATACGGTGAGAGTAGTCCGGTCATCTACGCAGGCTCGAATCCGCGACCTTTGGATTTCAATGCAGGTTTGTGATCCTTTTGGGTTAAGCAA